AGATTAGATTTTTTGGTGCATCAGACTCCCAATGTCTTTTTAGTCTTTTCAGTTGGTGAGTCAGCTGTAAAGCACTTTGAACTGCACTAATCTGTACTGTAAAGAGGAAGTCAAATATCACCGGCCACTTTATTAGGTACACCCGTTCAATTGCTTGTTAACACAAATAGCTGATCAGCCAATCACATGACAGCAACACAATTCATTTAGGCATGTAGACATGGTCAAAACAACTTGCTGAAGTTCAAACCGAGCATCAGAATGGGGAAGAAAGGGGATTTAAGTGACTTTGAAAGTGGCATGGTTGTTGGTGTCAGACGGGCTGGTCTGAGTATTTCAGAAACTGCTGATCTACTGGGATTTTCACGCACAACCATCAGTAACTCAAATAACCACTTTTTACAACCAAGGTATATAGAATACTATCTCTGCGGGCGGTGGTGCAGTGGTTAGCACTGTTGCCTCACAGCAAGAAGGTCATGGGTTCAAACCCTGGCTGCCCCGGCCTTCCTGTGTGAAGTTTGCATGTTGTCCCCCCGTGTCTGCGTGGGTTTCCAAAGACATGCAGGTGCACAATTGGTGTCCCCAAAAATTGTCCTTAGGTGTGAGTGGTTGTTTGTCTATGTGTGGCCCTGTGATGGACTGGTGACCTGTCCAGGGTGTACCCTGCATTCGCCCCATGTCAGCTGGGATTGGCTCCAGCCCCCTGTGACCCTATACACAGGATAAGTGGTTGACGATGGATGGATCTCTGAACACACAACAGTATTGTTGCTGACCATGTCCATCCCTTTAAGAGGAATGTTTCCAACACCTTGTTAAAAGGTGGGTCCTACCCAATACTACCAAGGTGTACCTGATAAAGTGGCCAGTGAGTGTAGTTTGCTTGATTTAAACAGTTTTGTGAAGCTGCAACCCTTTGCAACCAACATTAAGATTTGTCACTTTACATGTCAATGGCTCAAAGTGTTTTATTGTATTTAATTTTAGTGTGTGTTGCATATTTTCTTCCATTATCTGAAATTTTTTTTTTGTAAATTACAAACATTACAACCACTTTTTAAAGTATCAGTTTGAGAGACTTGAAACATGCTTGAGATAAGATGGTAATCCATCCATCAGAGTGAACATTTAGTTGTGCTATCGCTGCTGGGTAATGATTTTGATGAGTTGTTGAAAGGGAGGTGTGTGGGATCATCCAACATGTTTGCCTCTGTGGATGGTGTCTGGATCAGATTAGGAGATTATTAGAGTCATACTTTCTTTCCATGACTTGGCTGAGAGATTCATGGTAGACTACATGTTGGATCCTAACCAATAATACCATCTTTCAAAACACATTGGTACAGGTGCTGGTCATTAATTAGAATATCATCAAAAAGTTGATTTATTTCAGTAATTCCATTCAAAAAGTGAAACTTCATTCCACACAGACTGATATATTTCAAGTGTTCATTCCTTTTAATTTTGATGATTATAACTGATAACTAATGAAAACCCCAAAATCAGTATCTCAGAAAATTAGAATATTGTGAAAAGGTTCAATATTGAAGACACCTGGTGCCACACTCTAATCAGCTAATTAACTCAAAACACCTGCAAAGGCCTTCAAATGGTCTCTCAGTCTAGTTCTGTAGGCTACACAATCATGGGGAAGCCTGCTGACATGACAGCTGTCCAAAAGATGACCATTGACACCTTGCACAAGGAGGGCAAGACACAAAAGGTCATTGCTAAAGAGGCTGGCTGTTCACAGAGCTCTGTGTCCAAGCACATTAACAGAGAGGCGAAGGGAAGGAAAAGATGTGGTAGAAAAAAGTGTACAAGCAATAGGGATAACCGCACCCTGGAGAGGATTGTGAAACAAAACCCATTCAAAAATGTGGGGGAGATTCACAAAGAGTGGACTGCAGCTGGAGTCAGTGCTTCAAGAACCACCACGCACAGGCGTGCAAGACATGGGTTTCAGCTGTCGCATTCCTTGTGTTAAGCCACTCTTGAACAAGACACAGCGTCAGAAGCGTCTCGCCTGGGCTAAAGACAAAAAGGACTGGACTGCTGCTGAGTGATCCAAAGTTATGTTCTCTGATGAAAGTAAATTTTGCATTTCCTTTGGAAATCAAGGTCCCAGAGTCTGGAGGAAGAGAGGAGAGGCACAGAATCCCCTGCTTGAAGTCCAGTGTAAAGTTTCCACAGTCAGTGATGGTTTGGGGTGCCATGTCATCTGCTGGTGTTGGTCCACTGTGTTTCCCTGAGGTCCAAGGTCAAAGCAGCCATCTACCAGGGAGTTTTAGAGCACTTCATGCTTCCTGCTGCTGACCAACTTTATGGAGATGCAGATTTCATTTTCCAACAGGACTTGGCACCTGCACACAGTGCCAAAGCTACCAGTACCTGGTTTAAGGACCATGGTGTCCCTGTTCTTAATTGGCCAGCAAACTGGCCTGACCTTAACCCTATAGAAAATCTATGGGGTATTGTGAAGAGGAAGATGCGATACGCCAGACCCAATAATGCAGAAGAGCTGAAGGCCACTATCAGAGCAACCTTGGCTCTCATAACACCTGAGGAGTGCCACGGACTGATCGACTCCATGCCACGCTGCATTGCTGCAGTAATTCAGGCAAAAGGAGCCCCAACTAAGTATTGAGTGCTGTACATGCTCATACTTTTCATGTTCATACTTTTCAGTTGGCCAACATTTCTAAAAAACCTTTTTTTCTATTGGTCTTAAGTAATATTCTAATTTTCAGAGATACTGAATTTGGGATTTTCATTAGTTGTCAGTTTTAATCATCACAATTAAATGAAATAAACATCTGAAATATATCAGTCTGTGTGTAATGAATGAATATAATATCCAAGTTTCACTTTTTGAATGGAATTACTGAAATAAATCAACTTTTTGATGATATTCTAATTATATGACCAGCACCTGTAGTTATATAATCATAGTTTTATGAATGAAACTGAATGTGGAACCATTCATTGTCACACAACGGGGAAGGTGGGCTCTTTTCTTTCACTTCCCAGTCAGAAGAACGAAAACGAGTGTGTGGTTTCATTTGGTTTAAAGCTCCTGATAGTCAACTGGTTTACAGTTTTACTGCAACTAAATAAAAGAAACAGAGTTGTGCAAACTAGAATACTCTGCTCTTATGGGTCATAATCACAGATGTTCAATTTGACAACAGAAGGCAAAAAAAAAAAAGTTGAGATATTGAGAGGTGTCCCAGATGCTGCGTCAGTGATCTTCCACTGTGTCACACTACAGGCCATTACTGGTCTGCTGCGAAACGACAAACCTTTTACTGCATATAGGTAGCAGTTTGGTGATACATGATGAATGACAAAGGCGCTCACTTTTTATTGACTCACTGAACTCCTTCAGTCTTTCTTTACATCTTTGACCTTCTTATAGCTCTCTAACTTCATCACCCTCAGCAGGTATATCAAATAGAAACATTGAAATGTGTCTTTGGCTCTATAAGACTAAAACAGGTTTAGTTAGAGGAGTCAGGAAGTAAACACAGCTGAGCTGAGTCATTGTGATGACCCGACTCTCCCCTCCAGGCTCCAGCAGACACAGGCTGGGGAGTTCTCCACTGAAAACTACATTGATGCATCTCAATTTCCTTAATTGCATCCTCACTCGGTTCCTCGCATGTTCGCATTATACTGCAGTTTGAGTGACGAGCAACAAAGCAGAAAAGCTGACACCTTTTCACAGAGAAGAAAGAACTTTAATTAAATATAGTGAGAGTCAAAATGTTATTTTACACTTCAAAGTTTAAAATAAAAAAATCAACATTATCATCTTTACAGTAGTTTCCTCTGTACTCTTCCCCTCCACACTGATACTGATTATGTATGAATGATGACCACCACTGTCAGCCTGAACGCAGACAAGCCATAATAAGTGTTATTACTGTTGTTGAACGAGTGCTTTATCATCATAACCATACCCCCTACTTTTCCTGTACAGGTATTTATATACTGTATGTACTATAAAAAAACACCCCTCAGCTTTAAATATCACATTTTTCACACACACACACACACACACACACACACACACACACACACACTCACACTCACACTCACACTCTCAAATGTAGACACAGAAGAGTGGTCACCAGACCCATGTTTGAGATAAAATAAATAGGTGGCTCATTTTTTTATAAGGAAAATTGAGGGAACATGGAAAAAAGAGGGCAAACATGAACATCAAACAAGATGAGGAAGGTAAATGAGAGAGAGGACAGAAAACCTGACTTAAGCAGCAGGTGGCTGCAGCAGAAAGGAGAGAGAAAGAGAGATTGTGCCTCTTTCAGCCTTCATTAAGAAACTTTGTTCCATCTTTAAATCCATTACATGGAAGGCAAACACAGATCATAGTTAAGGACAAATTTCTACACCTCTACACCTAGATAATGCAACAAAATGCAAACTTGAACAATAATGATAAGTACAAAATGAAAACATCCTCCTGCTTCTTTGACTTACAAATGATTAAAAAATGTTATAATTTTAGTTTGATTGAAATTAGCAGTGGAACTGTGGCTTTTATTAATAAACAGACACTATAATACAAAAACAAAGACGATGTCTCAAAACATTCAAATCCTTAGACATGAGAAACAAAGCAAAGGAGGAACAAATTTGATCAGTTTTTCAGGGATTCAGCTGTTTTTTCCTAAAAATGTTTTTTTATTTTTTTATGTTTAAAACATGACAGACCTTTAGTCGTTTATTTAAAATTTTTAAAATGAAGCATGTTTTGTACTTTTTATTGAGCACGAACATCTAGATCTTCTCAGGCTGGAGTTACAAATGATTCCTGTTTGTCAAACAGGAGGGACTTACTGTATCAGCACATGATGCTAGTTAGGTTTTCTGTCCAGTGAAGAAATTCACTTTCAAATTGTCTCTATTTGATGTAAATGTCATCGACTTGAATGACAAACAAACAATAAGGATGGATTTGTGAACAATACCTGCTGCAGGTGTGAAAATTATGCTTTAATTAAGCACTGACAGTTATACATATTATGGCATTCTTGCACAGTTTGACTGTGTATGAAAAGAAGAGACACGTAGCATAGAAACTGCGTGCGTCTAAAATAAGGGCTTTGGCAAAATTAACATCATCATAAATGAATTAAGACTGCTGAACTACACACACTGAGCTTTAAGCTCAGACTGCAGGGCTGAGGGAGCAGCGACTTTCACAACAAACCATCAGCTACTTATCTAAGTCTCGCACACCGGGCATTTAAGACATGTCGTTGGCTAATTATCCTGCTCTGCAAAAAAAAAACAAAGAAAAAAAAAACATGGAAAATCATACTTCATCTTTACTTCTGGTGCAAAATGGGATGAAAATATGGTTTAAATTCAGTTGCTCTGTAAAAACATTTACTGAACTGGGACGATTTGAAAAAAGTGTACCTCAGTGACAATGTTTTCACAAATAAGACTCAGCTGAAGATTTAACATGACATTCTTTGCAGCGCAGTATTTAAGACACACCATTGGATAATTGTCTTACTCAAGTTGCCAATCACACCAGAAAAGTGGCTAGGTAACAAAAGGAACACAATCTGATTGGCCGGCTGATCACAGTAAAAAGCATTAACAACACAGCAAACCAAAAGGAAAACAAAACAGAAATAAGGATTCATATATTAAGACAAACAAAATCAAAGTCAAAATGGCAGCAGTCTTTAAGACATGTTCCTCCTCTTGTAGAGGTTGCTGTGGCTGAGCCCGACTTTATAAAAGGTCATGTGGTAAAAGGGCTGATGGGTGGACTGAGTAGCAGAGATGTTGGTTCAAATCCTTAACAGTGAAGCAGCTGTTGGCACCCAGTAATCACACACTCCTCTGTGCTGCACTTATTTATGGTATTTTTACAGGTAGCTCGTCAAATCTAGCTGTCATTAGCACCACAGCAAGTTTCATTTCTACCTTGAATCTTGCATGGTGGGAACTGGTTTGTTAAATGACTGAATTTTTTCTCTGCACCTCGCATTGGCTGAAACAATGATTTTCACACGGGAGCAGCAGTGCAGATGAATGTGAAGCGAGCTCAAAGTAAACATTGGGATTCCTTGAATGGCTAAAATGGCAGCTTCATACCCAGGCATCTGAATCCTTCAGCTGATCGATTAAACGCAGAGGAAGACGAGTGTTGGTGCTGAAAGTGTGACGGTGGCGTGGATTTGGCAAAGAGAAGTGAAAGTGTGTGTGTATGTCTGGTTTGGCTTGTCTGTGTCGGCTGGATTCGGCCCTGTATGAATCCTGCAGCCTCTTCATAATCAGCATTTTTACTCATCATCATCATCATCATCATCATTATTATCATCATCGTCAGGTATTCTTCACATTACATTCCTTCATTAATGACCAAACTTCATAAATAGAAAAATCCCTCATGTGAGATACAGTCAGAAGATGATTATCACACGTTAACTGTTGCACGAAAAAGAAAAAGAAACCAACTATCACTCAAGGGAAAAAAAAGTGGATTCTCTCCAAAATAAATACACTTCCTGTGTCCGTGGAGAGTCATAATGTAGGCGTGGCCGTTCTCCTATAAAAGCATCAAGGTGTACAAAGTCCAAACAACGTATTTCCTTGCAAACAGTCATTGTCTTTGTTTTTTTGTCTGTTGTCTTGCAGTTGTTTTTGTGTTAGAAAGGGCCTGAGTTGGGTTTGTTCCTTCAAATCGGGACAGCTGCTTCCATCCCAGACTGGAGTCTGACTCACACTGAAATCCTCCGCCAGGATCGTTGTGAGTGTGCTTGATTTTATCTCTCACACGCAGTCACACACACACCTACACACAGTCACGCACTCACACCTTTACATGGGTGGGACGATCATTCCTGGGATTGCTGTTGGGTGGAAAAAGAAACAGAGGGAGAAAAGAGGGGTGGGGGGGAGAAAAAACTTTAAAACATAGCCAAATATTTTCATCATCGTAAAAAATTTCCTCATAAATACATCAATATGTTTTCCCATCTGTGCAGCTGTGTGACTGCAGCGACATTTAAAACATCAATAGATGAATAAATCAGTAAATTCGGGCAAGGACACATCATCTAAATTGGCTTAGCGATGCTGCTCACACACACACACACACACACACACACACACACACACACATACACACACACACACACACACACTCACTTATTTAATCCTGCTAAAACAGTTGGCGTATTTTACTGTATGTTTGTGTGTATGCTTGACAGATTGCATCATGTTGTATTTAAACCCAAGGGATGGGTGTCAACATGTGTGAGGCAGAGCCCAGCCCAAAGTGACACACACACACATACACAAGACTGGATAAATTCTTAAATAAATGGTTTTAATTTAATGGTGAGTGAAAACATTAAAGATAAAATTATTCATTTTTAGTACCAGTATGAAAAAATTCTACAAAATATATTGTTTCAGTCGAGCCTCCGTTTTTCCCCTTTTGTCTAATTTGTCTCAGGTAGTCACAAGCAAACACACACACACACACACACACACACACACACACACCCACCACAGGGCAGGTATACTTCCAGTATAAACTGTCAAGAGAGTCGAACAGCTGTCATTGTTGATTGCTCCCTCGTAAGCTGCCAGTGTGTGATCACAGAGTATGTGTGACAGAGGAAAGTGTGTGTGTATAGCTGTAAGTGGGGTGTGTTTATTTCAGCTGTGCTTTGAGCCTAAGCTTTGAGTTCCCACACCCCCACACATGCTCTCTCTCTCTACACACACACACACACACACACACACACACACACACACATAGAAAACCAAGCGCAAAGGCACACACATCTAAACAAAGCCGGTGATATTGAGAAACATATTCTCTGTGCCAAATGTTTTTTTGTAAATAACTAACTTCCTGCCTTTTCTTTGGGAAGACAGAGAGGAGTTACCAGGGAAAAGAATAGCTAGATCTGTGCTGTGGGAGAAGTTGTGGATGGGAAAAGTTCAGGAGGAAGAGGATGGAGTGTTGATGATGATGAGACCAAAGGGGAAAAGACAGACAAGGCAAGGGTGGCAAGAAAGAGAAGTTGGGGGGAAAACTCAAGAGGGTGAGTGAAAAGTCATTCAGAAACAGAGGTAAGACATGTGAAACCCGAGAGACAATTATTATCTTTACTGAAATTAGTGAAATTGCAAATGCAATTAGTCAACAAAGTTGAAGGAAGAGGAACATACTTCAGGTGAAGGCCAGGCCTTGTAGAGAGCTGGCTGTTGAGTACTTGCTAGAGTCCACAAATGTTTGATCTGGTAGAGAGAGTCAGATAGGGACAGAGAAATGACAAAGGAAAGGGGAAAGGCCAGAGGAATAAAAAGAGGACGGGTTAAAAGTCAAGAGAGGAGAGAGGGAAAAAAATATTATTCCAAACAGTGAAGTATTGAAGGAGGTATTAAAAAGCAGACTTAAATAAAAATGTCTTCAACAGTCCATTTTCCATGAAAAAAATCGTGGAGGAGAAAGTCGGGGCGGATGACTCAGCTTTCAAAATGCATGACCATGACACTGAAACTGTGTTCTGTTTCCTGTCTTCAACCATAGTCAACATTGGTTTTAGTTGCAAACATTTCATCATTGTCTCACCACATCACTGGATTTGTACAAGTTTGATTCCTTCATCGCTCTCAGAAAAGAAGACTTAATAGGTGTAGTTATTTTTAAACCTACAGAATTTCATGTCAGTCCAGATTTAAATGTTTGATTTAGAGTTGACTTTAAAGTGAAACCTTCATCTGTGTCCATCATTTATTAAGAAGAAGAGGTAAGAAGTAAGCAGGACCATATCATGGCCAGATTTTTAAGTAAAATACATGCAATACAGTACGAACCAGTACTAATAAACTAACTGAATAATTTATGCTAAATGCTAATGCATTAAACTCACATGCTCACAATTACATCGCATACATACTGATGTTTAGCAGGTATAATGTTTACCATGATAATCATCTTAGTGTAGCATTAAACACAAAGTACGTAAGTAAGATATTGCAGGTATTTAGTATGTAAACCAAAGGATTGGACAATTTGGACCATATTCTGACCTGATACTTTCACAGTGACGATCGTGAATGGGAGGATATATTGTACGAGCTTTGACTGGTGTGAGAGATCAAAAATCAAAAAAGCAAACAATGGAAGGTGAAAACCCTTATTATTCATAACCTATTAGAATTTACCCTTTGCTAAGCCCCGCCCCCCTTGGTTACTGTTGCTAAGTCCGACAAACTGTGGCGCTGCCACTGTCTATTACTGCACTCCCTGGAAAATTTTGTCACATTTGTTGGAAAAAGCGATCTCAGAAAGAAGCAGACAGTTTTGCAGTTGCATTATAAATTTGAAGGTTGTATTCAGGCTGTCAGACTGACTCAAACTGACTCAAACAGACGAGAAAAAAATGAAAGATAGAAGCTAAAGCCTACCGATCACACAGAACAAGTGAACCACCGCATCCCCCGACGATTGAGACAAAAGACGATATGAATGATCAATGATGTTCCTGTAAAGCTGGGTAAGCCTCTATGCATTATCACAATCATTAAAAAGCAGAACAGTAGGGCTTTATTACGTTACACTCAGTAGGAAGTTAGCTAGCTAACATTACATTAGGAACAATCCACAGCCGACATTTTTCTGGATTTATTTCAGGTTTTGGAAAGAGAATAAATCGTACTTCTCCTTTCAATCTCTCTGGGTAGTGACTGTAATTATTACAAGTGCCCCAGGAACAGCGTTTGACCAGATCTTAGAAAAATACAGCCAAAAAAAGCTAGAAAACGACTCTTTTTCCATTAGAGTCAATGGAGCGCAGCCATGAAAGTGTCGGACCTCAGTTAGAGCGAGTCCTATACTGTGCTGTGATTGGCCAGCTGCGTATTCGGGGCGTGGCTTAGCGAAGGGTCAATTATGGGTGAACAAATAGGTTTATGGGGTAAATTGACCTGTTTTCATATTTGATTATTTTTCAAAATTGTATAATGTCTTTTTTTTATATTTCCCTCTGTTACTTTTGAATTGCCATGTTGCTGAAATGTGCTATACATATAAACTTGCTTTGTCCTGCCCTGCCTAGATTAAATGTAAAGGGATCACCAAAGCTTTTACAATTCATCCCGAGGGGTACATGAATGCATGAATGAAATTTCATGGCAATCTATGCAACAGCTGTTGAGACATTTCATTAAAAAAAGAACAAATGTGAACCTTATGGTGGCACCATAGAAAAAGTCAGAGGATGAAGAATGTCAATAGGATTTCACCCTGAAAGTACTACGAATGTCTGTACAAAATTCCAATCCATTTAATGGTTGTTGATATGTTTCAGTCTGGACCAAGATGGTAGGCCAGCCTTAAAACCATTAAACATAGTACCTGCTATTTGATCAGGTACTGTGAGATAAGCGAGAGGAGGAAGTGAAACATAACACGGACTCTAGTGAAAGGATCGTTTCAAAAACTTCACCAGAGAAGCATCATCTGGTGGAAAAGTCCTCCCTCTAAGCTGTCATGGTAAATTACCTTGGAGCCCGTTGCCGTTGGCGCTGGTACAGGAGGGCGGAGGGGAGGAGGAGGGCCTGACCACTGGAGCGAAGGCGGACTTCTGCTTAACGGCCGCCGACACCATGTTGGCCGGAGAGAAGGAGAAGACGCCAGAAGAGGAGGAGCAGTTGGAGGGGAGAGAAGTGGAGGAGGCCATAGTGGGACTGGATGGGACAACTGGGGTGGTGGGAATTAAATATTTTAAGGAAAAGGAGTAAGGAGAAAGAGAGGTGGGATAAAGAAGAAGGGGGTGAGGTTATAGATGAAGGGTGAGGATAAAGGAAAGAAACAGATTATGGTTAATTGATTGAACTTATATTTGTCGTTTTTTTTAGACCGGGGCTGTTATCATGGCCCTTTAGTTCTGATGAAGGGACATTTTAATGTTACAGCACACAGTGATATTTTAGACAATAGTTTGCTTCTGTGTGGCAGCAGTTTCCCTGTTTTAACATGACAGTTCCCTCGCGCACAAAGACAGCTCTATAAAGAAATTTGAGTTTGGTATAAAATAACTTGATCACAACCCCATCCAAACACCTTTGGGATCTCACTGATGCTCTTGTGGCTGAAGGGGATCAAATTTCCGCAGCCAGGTCCCAAAATCTTATCTAATATTGATGCCGGTTGTTTAGGAATGAGATGTTTAAAAATCAAATATGGGTTTAATGTTCATGTGTCCAGACACTTTTGGCCATGTGTAGTATTTTTTTTTATTGTGGCTTAAAAGTTTACTCTGTGAGAATCGACACGTGAAGGTTCCACTTAAGCCTACTCGTCCTTGGTCAAACATTCTTCATTTTACGTCATCATCACCCGTGAAAGAAATATCAGCAAACAAACAAAATCTCACATCTCTCTCAGAACCACTGTCTCCCTCTTTCTCTCTTGCTTTCTGCTAAATGGAAAAGGGATGCAATTAACCAACAGAGAGAAAAGAGGTGTGACTGTCAGATGAAAGGCCGCGAGGGAAGGAGTGAGGAGATGGAGGGAGGGAGAAAAATGGAGCTGAGAGTAGGTGATTGTTTTTGAAGACAGAGAGACAGAAAGCCCCGTGGGGGAATCTCCACACAGCAAATCTAAGACTTTTGCTTTGCGTCCACAGACCTGTGTAGGTACAGTATGTAAGATCTGCATGAATGTATGCAGTGTTGAACACCTGTAATTAAACTGGTAGCGATGTAACTGCATTTTGAAGTAGCTTGGTGGCAGTTTAGCTGATTTGAAATAATCATGTGTTTTCTGACAGCAGATGTAGTTTTTTACCCACAAAGCAGCTAAAACAACTCTATAATAAGTAACTTCAGTACAGTTTCAGGTTCAAGTTCTTTCAAAAGCAAAGCTTGTAAAACAGTTATTTCTCCCCAGGCGTAGCGTGTGATTGAGTGTGTGTGTGTTCATGTCTGTTGAGTAAATGTGCACTCACTAGCATAAGGCGAGTTGGCTGCAGAGCCATTAAGGAAAGTGGGCGAGCCTCCCAGGTTGGTCATGCCGGTGTTGTTAGCGTAGCCGTTCATGGTGCTTGTGACTGAGGTGTAACCGGTCTGCTGAGGCGTGGAGCTGGGCACGTAACCGTGAGGTGACACACTACTGCTGCTGCGCACGAAACCTGCAGGGAGTGTGGTGGAGAGGAAGTGGAGCACATGGTGATTGGACAGTTGGTCAATGTGGTGTGAGCACAGATCATTCATGATAGAAATCTGGCCGTTCTGAGATGGTTAAAGTTGAAAATATATGAACTTTGGAAGGGAGTGAAACGGATAAAAGCTGAGCAGTGGAAGCATATATGGAAGCCAATGAATGAATAAATAACCTAACTTTATCACTGTTTATATTTTTAAGCAACAAGCTAGAGACTTTGTTATGCATTCAACACAATGGCATCAGAATAAGACAGTTTAGCTGTCTGTTATATTACAGAATTTCCACATTATTCTCCACAACACATCCATATTAATGCATTTTCTACACTGCATAACATGTCTTTTCTGTAAAGATGCACAGAAGATTATGATATCTCAACATGTCATAACACCAGGTTTCAGCAACCTGTGTAATATAAACTGTAGTAACGAAGCTAAGAAAAAATGTTCTAAAACATCAACTAAACAAATAAAATATAAATAAAATATAAGGGTATTCAGAAGTGGTGGCTTATCTTTGATGACAAATTCACTGTCATTAAGATGAATGTGCACTATAGTGATAAACACTCTTACCCTGATTGGCCTGCGTGGGTTCGGAGACATTGACAGACAGCTGCCCAGTGAAGGAGTTGACCCCCATCATGCCACCGTGGGTGGAGCCGGAGAGCTGGGTGTGTCCTCGTGGAACGCTGTAGAGAGCTTCTGCAATGTCCGCCGCACGCTTCAGGATGATCTCCTACAGGAAGAGGAAAGCACATAGGACTAAATACCATAAACATGAAAGCTAAAACTAACACACCTTTTTTTGGCTTTCTGTGTGGAAGTTTGCATGTTTGTGTGTTTCTTACCTGGTTGTTATGGGGCAAACCATAGAGGGCTTCTACCAGGTCGGCTGCTCGCTTCAAAATGACCTCCTGAGAGAAAGAGAGAGAAAAAGAAGAAGGCAGAATTAGCCTCAGTTTATACGCAAGAAAATACATATGATTTAGCCTCCTTGGATTTTTTTCCCTTGATGGTCAGAAGTCTGAAAAAAACATTTAAATCCAAATTTACCAATAAATTGAATCAAGGTTTTAGATGCATGTGAAGACATAAAGGCAGATTCCACTTCAGAATCACACATAAAAGTTATTTAAAAAAAATCTCCTCCTTCCTCCCCCAACATCAGCCAACATCCATTTCAATCTCTATTCATGATAAACAAATTGCTCTTCACTCCTTTTAAAGGCAGATTATCTGCTGTCAAGTCAAGTGCTTTTATGCATCTTTTTTGTCTGAATGACATCTTAAAGTGACAGGTATTTAAAATATACTAGGAAATCTTTAAAGTGCTTCTTCTGCTGTGCATTGCTCTTCAAATCTGACCACAGTAATCCAGTGTGAGCAGTCCTATAGAAGACAATCCTTCAGATCTTTGAAGGCAACATCTTTGATCCCCCCCGTATTGATTATTAGTTTTCTTATCTGAAAAGAGTTTGTAAAGGTGAACAACTTTGCTACACGAAGTACTGGATTTAGGTCAGAGGTCTCGTTTTATTCACGTTTGACTCACTTGTGATGGAAGGTGTTTATTAATTACTGCTCAATTTGACGTTTCAATCCTTCTCCTTCAATTTCCATTTTCCCCTTTTTCCCCTCCACTACCTTCTTCTCGCTTTGCATCCATATTGTCTTTATTATTTCCAACCCCAACTAAACCCTCCAGGATTTTCTATCTTCCTCGCCCGCCTACCCTCTCAGTGTCTCCCTCTTTCTTTCTCTGCTCCCACCCTGGGGTCTAAGGTGTCTTGTTTAACAGTTAATGTGTTGTCGTTTCCACAGCGTGAGGCTGCCCGGCGACAGAGAGAAAATTACTCTGTGCTTCACAGTATTAACCTACAATGTGTAACACACACACACACACACACACGGTTGGCTTGCATGTGTGCTGTCCTGTGAGTTTGTGCCTGGTGGAACATATTGCCTCTCCATCATTGTGTGTGTGTGAAGATATGAGAGGTCACAGAGCCAGTCAGCAGTTTGAGTGTGCCTGTCCATGGTGTTAAATTCAATCTTTTACACATTATTATGGCCAGGCTGGCTCTCTTTTAACCGCTCATTATTATACTGGTGAGCTGAGAAGCTGACATACACACTTACACACACACACACACACACACACACACACACACACACACACACACACACACACACACACACACACACACAGAAACCTGATCCTAAATGTCGAGCGGTTCCAGTAAGGCAGTAGCTGATAAACGGGAAGGGAAGATGATCCTCTGGTAACATCATCATTATCAGGTCTGCAGGCTTCTGCAACTACATCACTCAAAGCCTCTGACTGCAGGGATCGATGCACTTTGAATACGTCGCCTGTTAACGTCTTTTCATATTTAGACACACAGACACTCACATCGCCTAATTAATCTCTCCCTGGTTGCATCTGTAAATAAGAAAGTTAGCTTTGTTTGTCAGATGACCTCCTGCTCAACACAAATGAATCATGCTTCCGGCTGCATTGTGTTGATATGAACGAGAATGAAATTGTTGTTGCCAAACTTGTGGACATCATTTATGTTTCAAAATGGACTAAAAAATCTAAAATAATTCGGCTTTGATGTCCTGATGGCCTAAAAATTTGTCAACAGGATAGCCTGCAGCAACAACAAAAACTAATTTAACTGTAGCAAGAAAATTAAATTTGTTTTCATGACTTTTGTGAAGTTGGGGACCAAATTAAAATGGGAGGAGGTGTTGAGCTGGACTGCCTGGAGGTGGTGACAGAGAAGAGGATGCTGTTGGTTAACATCCTGAACAACATCTCCCACTTCCTCCACGACATGCTGGTTGAGAAGAGGAGCGTCTTCAGCTCAAGACCCGCAAGGTGTTGCACCAGGCGGCACAGGAGATCATTCTTGCCGGTGGCCATCAGATTTTTTCACTCATCCCGCTGTGTTGCAGCGCTGACATCAGTGGACTGGGAGGCTGCTGCGGTCCTGCTGGACTCTAACTGGACTTACAATTACATTCTCTGTAACTTCTGGTAAAGTGCAATACATCATGACTTCAACTTATAACTTATAATTACACCCATTTCGCACACCTTACAGCAATTTTCGCACATGCAGATGTTTAAAGGGCATCCGTTTTTACTTTTAAGTCTTATGTTTAGCACTTGTGTTTTGATATTTGTTCTTGCACTATTCTCGTGTGGTTCGTTTGTATACTGCTGCTGTGACATGAGAATCTCCCCCTGGGGATAAATAAAGTAGTGGCAGTGCCACGATAGTTTGAAAATGTTGTGTTTCTTTTTTGTTTTGATGATTTGCATGTCAAAATATGTCTGGGGATAAACTGGGATAATTTTGGTTGAAAGAGTGTTTTTTATGCATTTAAGTTACTTGAAACTGTTGTTTTATTTTAAAGAGTATACTTCATTATAAATAGGTCCCAAATACACATCTACACATTAAAATATAGTCTAGTTTAAACAACATTTTCTCTATATGTAACTAATATATAATCTAAAATACTTTTGAACCAACTTTAGTTCAGTTTTAAGCTTGTGGATTGACCCTCTCCTTCATGTTTCTGCCCATCTATTGCTTCCTGGGTTTACACTAGATTATGATGAATTATGACAGTTGAGTGACAGAAACCAACTCTGAAATGTTTCTTTATTTAATCACATATTGCTGCCATTTTCTTTGATCACTGTAATTGATGTAATAAAGCCTGATTTTACAGCTTTAATCTCTAATGTTTGCCTTGGTTCATGTGACCGCCCTACATCGTCTTAAACTGTTGTCAAATAATTATGGATATACGGCTGACATGTACCCGTCTGTCATTTTATTGTCATGTCTTGTCAGCCTTTAAAAATCATGTTCAATATACAAGCCCTTGATTGAGATTATTTAACTCATCATCAAACCCTTAATCTATTCTTGTCTGTTTCAGATATATATAATATATATGTGTATGCGGACAGAAAGGCCAACTGACAGTCAGACAGAGAAGCAGAAGATGAGTGAAAGAGAGATCTGTTGGCAGTAACAGGAGTAACAGGAATAACAGGAGGTGTCTAGGTGCTTTTACTGTCTGAGTTATGGCCAGCCCTAATGTGATAACCATACATTACACGGGCACACACACACACGCACGCACGCACGCACGCACGCACGCACGCACGCACGCACGCACGCACGCACGCACGCACGCACACATGTTGTATGCATTAGGACCAGGAAACGCCAAGCCCAGAATCTGTGGGGTTAGAGACGTGTGTGATGTGCGTGTGCCAGGCCAGCACAGACATGACACATGACTTATTCCTCCCTGATGCTGATACATTAGCTGTTTGATCTGCTTCTAATGTCCCATTAGGGATGCCGTACATGCAGGGTCACACCTTGCACGGAGATGATGTCATACTTTCCATGTAGGCTCAGAGAGGCACAATCATATACACACACACACACACACACACACACACACACACACACACACATACTGTATATACAAGTATTGACATGCATGGACACACACACATGAACTCTGGGAACATCTCCTACTCATACGTTGTGAGATAGTGTTTGGATGTGTGGTTTCAGATTTCATCTCTTCTCACTGGTGATGTGAACATCCACATGTGAGTTTAAGTGCAGGGGAAGATACAGATATATGTTGAGTAGAAAGAGAGAGAGAGAGAGCGAGAGCGAGAGAGAGAGATTGTTTCATGTCTGCGCATTCGTGCATCACCAGAATTACTATTATATTACATTACATACTGATGATGCTGATGACATGACCTCAGCACATGATGCATGACATCATCAAAATGAGTCGCCCAGAGATGTCAGCAGAATGAGTCACCAGAGGAATTCACCAGTCTAAAAGGTGTGACACACACTGGTCAACCTCTGCAACCTGAATGCTTGTGGGATGTTGTCAATGAGGGCTGCTTCTGTTATGTTGAATAATCACTCTGATTGTAAAATGAAAAATCAAATAATCTATACTATATGCTATGTACCACTTTTTTAAATTCTGAGAAAGAATATAACTAAATGGATCTGACTGTATTTTGAACTTACACTAATGCACTGATATGCCATTGTGTTTCTGTCTAGTAATCACAAATCAAGTTTCCGTTCAAATGTAGCGCAAATTTAAACCACATTTCCAGAAAATCTGCAAAACAAAATGCAAATGATTGCATGTTTCCATCCCCTACTGATATGCGAATATTAGGAGCATTAGGCGCATTAGTTGGATATGCTAATTGGCACGACGAGATGACGTAATTAAAAGAGCACCAGTCAATCACCACCAGTCCTGAAATGATGAAAATGTGGAATTTATGTTTGTTTGTTTATCTTTGTGGGAAACGTTTTCACCTCAGCCAAGTTTCCACTCAGGTTTGAAAGTGCAATAAAAACAGGTGGATGGAAACATGCTTACAAAAGCATACTGTCATAATCTGGGCTCAGGGTGCATGCAGGTATAATCGTCATGCAAGAGTGCAATCTGCAATGACATGACCTTTCATTCACTAAGTTTTAGGAAATATTCCAAAACCTGAGAGGACAGTTATTGTCCTAAGTGCTGTTTTTATCTTCTACCATTCTTCTGCTGCAATAAGGAGGGATCAACAAGCCATGAGAGGTGATTGATTTCTTTGTGCATCTAAAGAGACATTTCTGCTTCTTACTCTCTTAGTTACTGGCCGATCGCCCACACAGGTGATGAGCAGCAGACTAGAATGTAAAAACTGTTTTGTAGCAGAATTTGGCTTTTGATAATTAAACATTTTTTGTTTGTTTAGGTTGACTATATTTAGAGTCAATATTCTTACATTCTGAACCAACATTTAGTACACTGAAAAGAAATTTGCATGAATATTTGTTGCAGCATTCATACTGCTTGTGGGGTATTGAGAAACTGCAGGTCTGGGAGTGTGTAACTAGGGCACAAAACAGCTGGAGTCCTCTGTCAAAAAAAGCTACAGAAAAGTCCCTGATTTTCCACAACAGACTTCCCAGACTGTTCCAAGTAACTTCAAAGTGGTCCCCAACAGGACAGTGGAAACAAAGTATGTGTGTTCACTGTGTACAGTAACTGTATGTGCACATATGGATGGATGCTGAAGGGATCATGGTGACACAAAGTGGCAGCTGAACACTGGTGTGTGTGTGTGTGTGTGTGTGTGTGTGTGTGTGTGTGTGTGTGCGCGCGTTTGTGTTTGTGTGTGGCCAGCAAAATCCCCTCAATGTTCACTGAACAATTATAGAATCGGCTGTGCACTGGTAATCCTCTCATACACTCCACTGCCCCGTCTGTCTGTCTGACTGTCTGTCCGCCTTCTTCATAGCGCCTTGTAACAAACTCTTATAACTTCAATAAAAGGGCTGATCGATAGTGTGTGTGTGTGTGTGTGGCGCTATCAGCGCACACACACACACACACACACACACACACACACTTCACATTGCTCCCACATATATCCAGCATCCAACACAACACAGACAAAAACATGTACAGTCTCTCTCTCTCTCTCTCTCAAACAGGCACACACGTTTTTCTACACTTGTGAGGACCCTCACTGGTATTCACATTCTCTAGCCCCTTACTTTATTTAACCTTAAACCTCACAACTAAATGCCTAAGCCCAGCCTTTACCCTGCCAGGAAGGATATATAACAAGGTTTTCCTCAATGATGGTGTGCACATAGAAGGCTCCACTGGATTTCAATGGAATGAGCTGCTTTTACTTGGGCTCCATTTTGTGAATGGAAGGATTTCCCCTCCAAAAGCAGGACAAGAAACCTTTAAAGAAAAGGATTGTGTCCCTCTCTGGTTTTAAATCACAGTGAGTTTTATTATTACACTTATTATTATTTGTTTTTAATCTTCTTTCAGAAAGGACCCGACACTATGTGGACCGCCTCTCTTTTGTAACCTGAAGTCTGAACCCTAAAAGAGTCCTTTGACAGTCTGTCCGAAGGAGGACCAGCCAAAATGTCCTCACTTTCCAAAAAAGTTCTCCCTACCAAGGTCTAAAACTCAAATTGGTCCTCACATAGATAGATACACAAGTACACACACACAAAAACACACACTCTGGTGAGCAGCAGTAATAAAGTCTCAGGGTTCGATCGACCACATGGCTACACCATGATGAATTACCCAGGAATGCGCACACACACACACACACACACACACACACACACACACACACACACACACACACACACAAACAGATAACATGTATGAGGAACGTTGTTCTCAACAGAGAGCATAATCAGTATGACACAGTTAGCAGCAAAGGGAAGGTAAAACAGTCACGGTGCGTTCAGTGAAAGTCTCAAATGAAAAGCTGTTTGTCATCAGGATGAATGATTTTTGTAAATCAGCTCTGTGGCACTGTTCCTGTACCACAGAGGCACGTGAAGACTATAAGAGAGGCAATAATAGAGAGAGAGATGAGTTTAGGTCCATCACAGTGAAAAAGTCCTTTGTCATTCATTGGCTGCCTGTTGCGATTATCTGAGCTACTCAAAAGTTGAACTACTTTATTATCTGTAGACACAAAATCTGACATTTCAGTTCCTGTGCTCCCTAAGAACATGGTCCTTATCTCGGCATGAAGGAAAAAACTCTGGAAGTTATGAGGCGTTTGGCCCCGGTTTGTCTCCCCATCGTCTGTTGGTTGGATCTGATACCCGATCAATGCATCCAGCTTCTTTGGTTGCATTTCCAGAAGCTTAGTGGTTCTCACTGTAGTTTTGCCTGGAAATATCTCGTGTGACATCATGTTGCTTATAACAAGCTTGACCGGTTATCCATTACCAAGTAAAACAGGCCTAGAAAAGTACAGTGCCAATACTGTCTTTTAATAGTGCTAAAGTGCTTTATGGTGGACTGGGGTCAGAAGTGATATCAATATTTGGTTCTTACGGTATTTATGGACCCACTTAATACAAGTAATATGCTCATTTGTTTTATTTCTCCTGACAAGCAAAGCTACAAAAGAAAATGTGTTGGCTAAAGCTCAGCTAAAGCAGGCCTTTTCATTTTTGTAATGTTACAGTAAATATTGACATATTGGGTATTCTGGCTTAAATTAATGCATGTGAATGTACTGTCTGCAGTGGAGTGGAGTGCAAAAACACAATAATAATAATAATAATAATAATAATAATGATAAGTATAATAAGTATAATTATTGTTATAATTATAATAGAATAAACCAATAAATATTGTTATCTAGGAGCAACCACTTTCTTTCCCACTCTCCCAGAATGCTTCATGGGAACTGACAGCTCAAAATGCAGGTCTGACCAACGAGATTGCTTGGATCAAATTATCCGTTGTATCTGACAAATCTGACAACAATGGTGGTAAAGATTTACTTTTCATTTTCTTTGGAAGGATTACATATTTTCTGTGTGTGTCATGCTTTGTAAATCTCTCACAAATTGTGGAGAGTGCGTGTTTGTGTGCAGTGTCTGTTAATTCACAGGAAAGTGAGTTAGTCCTTTTCCTGCTCTTACTCAGCCTTTACCAGAAGGTGGAACCAACATCACTTATGATATCACACAACTTTGGATTGCTAACGTCATTTCCAGCACAGATTTTTCTGCAAGACTTATTGCATTTATTGGAAGTTGCTCTAAATATAACATGCCTGGTCATCCAGTAGGTAAAAGTATCCCTGATGGGTTGACTTCATTCTTCCACTCCATGTCTGACTCTTACAGCCTTTTGCACAATTTATGTTGTAGTTATGTCATGGTTGAAAAAAACAAAAACACTTTTCAACTTGTCCAATGTCCTTCAACAACTACTCCCTGTCGTGACACAAAGAAATCAGTGATATGGATGAACATTAGCTATTTAGCTAACTCCGGCATATTTACATTGAAGTTTTACTACAGTGTTGATTAATGTGCATTGTCCCTGTTAAATAAATTAAAAAATTAAAAAATTAAAATATCAGAAAAGGAGGAAAAATAGTTCATGTCATGGAAGGAACCGTAACTCTGTATAAATTGTGCAGCATTGTTTAATTCCCTATTCTTACAAATCAGCATCAATTGTCCTGCATGTTTTAGATCGTTCCCTGCTCAAAGACAGCTTCAGATCAGCTTGTTATCAGGAGGAGATTTTGAAGTTCATAACAAGCTGAATTTGAATCAGCTTTGTTGGAGCAGGGAGCAATCTAAAAAATGGAGGACAAGGGGTACTCCATGACAGGTTTGGGAAACCCTGGATTAGTCACTTGGCAGATATCTAATCTGCAACTATTCTGATAATAGATTAATGGTATCAGTCATTTTTCACGTCAACCCTCACGACGCTTTCCTCGCGTGAGTACATTCGCTGCAAGTATTCACACACAATGCGAGAAGGCATCGAATTGTAAATTTTCAACTCACACGAACGCCTTCGCGTTGCCGGGACCGCCCCCTTCACGTCGCTTTTGTCGCCCGACAGGAAATCGTGGCTCTACACGTCTTTGCATTGACTTTGTATGTAAACTCACCGCCCCGAATGCTCGCTTCGCTTTTGGTCTGAAAGCACAGTTAGGCGCTACTTTCTGTGTTGGCAGTGGATGCTAGCAATGGTCATGAATCTTGAGCTGAATCAGCCAATATTACCCCCATTATGTTCATCCTGTTACCCACTATAATGAACAGTACACAGTTTACTGTAAACAAGCGAAGGCACTAAATACTCATGACTATGAATCCACATACTTCCAAAACATTCGAGGTGTGAAGTTGAACACGTTCCCACAGTGATAACTCTCATTACACGTGATTGCTAACACATGTGCAGGAGCCAGGGTGTCGGCACGGCCGTGATGAAATCGCGTCATCGCCATATCATCACATCATGACCAGCGCCCATTCTTTGATGATGTCACAGCAAATACAGCCAATCCTGGATTAGCTCCAATGGGGATTGGGGAGCCAATCAACAGCAGCTGTTTGAAAGGTCATGACCCTGCCCACCCAGATAGGCAAGTTGAATCAAGTCAACTTGGTGAGCTCGCGCACTCTCACTTTGAAAAGTCACCCTGCATGTACAGATCTGGATGACAGGGTTTGGTATCAAAGCTGAGCTCATCGTTTGGTGCTAATTGTTTACATCTGCTGATCCTTTAAACATGCTGCTTGATCTCCAGCTGATAAACAAATAATCAGATGTGACTCTCTGATCCGGAGAAGATTCAAACAACTCACCCTGTAAATGGGTTTAAGCAGCTCACACACACACACACACACACACAGACAGAGTTCATGAGAGGTAAAAACACAACCCACAGGAGATTTGAAAACACATACTCTGCTCACTAATATAAAAAGAACAAACAAATGAAACGTAAATACAAGATGATTTTGTTCTTAGTGTTTTGAATTAATGTGTGTACATCTCTGTGCACTTGTTCTTTGATAGCAGAGCGAGTCAGTGTAGCTCAGTGTAACTGAGAAGTTGCAGGTTTGATCTCTCTGAGAGCTACAGGATCTGTCAGGTTGAAGCAGGAGACAGAGCCTTGCTCATTCTAGGTTCATTGGCCAGTTAAGGCATCAGACAAATGTGCAAGAGGTGAATGTAGATAGTTTCTGTACCTTTGGCAGCCTCTCAGGGTCCCCAGGGTGCCGAGGGATGACCTTTTGAAGCCTCTGGAAACCGTAGTCGATGGTTGGCTCATTCAGTGCTGCAGAAGACAAACAGAAATGGAAATAAGGGTGATGAGTAAAAGGAAGAAAGAAAATGGCTGTTTTATTGTTTAGGTATTATCCAGACAAGTTGTTTTAAGATCTTATGAAATAGGCCTTTTAACTCAAATGTCTCGAAAACATATCCAGTGGTGGACTCATGCTGCATATGTGGGTGTAACTAAAAAGTCATTGCAAATATTTGCACAAGCTCACCTTTCTGTCAGAACTCCATAACTAGTAGGCCTTTACACTTAAAATGTATTTCGTGGAACCTTTGAGTAAGTAGAGTAGATCACAGTGCCACAACATAACAATCTAAAAAGTTGGAAAGAAGTGAAAGGTTAAACTGCTATAGAGTAATAAAGTAGTAATATTTAATGTGCTACACATAAATTGTGATTACCTTATACCTTATTATAATTATCATAAGCAATGAGTAACATTTAAAGAAGTGGGCATCATTTTTGACAATTTGTAGGCTCTATCTTATGACAGCGGTATCGCTCATGTTAGCTTTTCCCAACTTAAACCTTCAATGATATTTTATGGATTATAGCCACTTGAGGACGTTTTCCACAATCCCAGTTGCATCCTGTCACAAAGTTGCGGTGGTTTATTTGGCACTCCCTTGTTTTCACTTCAGTGAAGGAGAAACATGTACGATAAGATTTTCCTTCATCCTTTTCTCTCTTTCCACCGTCTGCCGGTTCTAGAAATTTCTGCCTTATCCTCTTTTGTAGTGTAAAACAATGAGACTGGCCAATGAGCCTTGATGGGGAAGAGCGCTGATTCTCACTTCCTTCACACAAAAAACCTGAAAATAAATATATATAAAAATCAAAATATGCAGCTTTTCTTGTAGGATTGTAAGTCACTTGTCTGTCTACACATTTCTTTGATGCAAAACCAGACAAAGTCTCATGTTTGGGAGTATGCGTGTTGTGATGACATCCTCTCAACCAAAGATACAGAGGGCTTCCTCTTCTTCACCCTCCTTTCTGCCTTATCGATTTCAGCTGGTTTATGTCAGCTGTCGTGTTTTAAAGCTTTGCTGTTCTTCTTTCATAAAGAATATGGTAGCAGATTATTGGTGTAAAAAATATTACACAGTGCGTCTTTAATGCTGTTGGTATTCAACCTGAGCCTGCACACATGATAAACAGACACAGAATCACAACATCTGTGCTAATCAGCGGGGGGGCATCTGAGTGGTGAGGAGAGAGGATGACATCCCATTTTGTGACATTTTGTTCCCAACCACCACGTTGGTATGAAGTAGGGTTATTTTTTTCTAAAACTGTGTTGGAAAGTAATGAACCTGCTCAGCATGAGCTGACAGAAGCCTGGTGGTTAGAAGGGGCGGGCTTGTGAATGAAAGGTCGGCAGTTCAAGATATGACTGGGAAACTGCAACTGAGGAAAGCACATCTCTCAGCACTATGGAGATTTTCACTGGATTTTCTCTCAAGTGAAGCTGCACAGGTTGTTTTGGGAGGTGGCCGGTGTGAAAATGTGTGAATTTTGTTTTTTTCTTTCTTTTTATCTTTAAATGTAAAGATATTCCATTTCACATTTATCAATTTATAACCCCCCAACACCTATGGCTGAGCCCTCATTTCATCACATCAGTCCAGCATTTTCTCAGTATTGATTAGATTTAGCTTTAAGGCTTTAAAAAAACTGTAATAATTTGAGAGGATTCCCATATGTCAAAATATATAAAGAAAGCATCACCTTTAGCATGAATCCATAATGTATTTCAAACACCCACTGAAGAAGGTGGAGGGAGCCTCTCGGGTACGAGTTAAAGAGTCAGTTCAACCAAATTACAAATAATATTTTCACACTTATCTCTAGTGGTATCTACATTAGTCATGCACATAGTTTGGATTTTTTTTGTTCAAGTTTTGAGATATCTGCTGTCATTGTAATAAAATAATTCCGTCACAGAATCAAAAAAATACTAGAGCTTCACCTTAAATGTAAATCAAGAAGCTTTATTTTGTCTGTCTGTGGTGCAAGACTTTATAACTGAAATATGATAAGGGCGCACACTTTCTTAAAGGACACTAAAAACTCGAGTCTTGTGGGTAAAACTTGAGACTTCCACGTAGACTGTTGAAGGAGTTTAGTGTGATGCGGCTGAAAATATTTGGTCTGAACTTGCGACTCAACTTGGAAAATTTTGATTCAGTTACAGTCCTACTATATACCATGAGAGGTAAATGAGGATTGACCTGGTAGAGTAACTAATGCTGTCAAAAGCATCTGCATGATAATAACGCTGCAGGTATAATCTTAACAGTTTTAAAGAATGCTTAGTGTTCACCGTAATGTTGCAATTATGTTCTTTGACAGTCTTTATCCAATCAATATGTCAATCAAGTTGGCCTCTGAAAGCTATGTCAGTCAGAATGATGGTTTAAAGTATTATATGTGTGTCTACATTTGTGTAGACACACATATTTTTTTTCACCTCACTGGTGATCCTCCTAAGCTAAAGATACTGTGTGTGTGTGTGCGTGTGTGTGTGTGTGATGTCCAAGTGTGCAGCTGGAGTGATATTTGGTACTTTCCACTTCCAGCACTGATAAATTACTTGCAGCTGAATGTCTCATGTGTTGTTTGCTAGTTTCTTCTAGCTTGTGTGTGTGTATGTGTGTGTATTTTATATGTATGTCTGTTTTATTATCACATTACACCGTTTCTGGTTTCTGTTATGTCTCTCAATTTGTTAGCAACATAACTTCATAAATTGTGAGCTATAAAAATATCAGATGTTAATCTGTCATGAACAATACTTCCCCCACTCAGAGGAAACTTTGTTTTTTAAAATTCTGGACAAATGATGATTTATATATGATAATTACATCAACACAATTGGTCTGGAGGAGGCAGGCCAAGGAGAACAGAAAAGAAAGTGAAGCAAGGGATAGATGGAAGAAAAAGAAAGAGACTTAAAGAATAAAGTTCAGGTGAGAGGAGAGAAGAGGTGAGGGAAGGAGAAAATGAGAAGAGAGCATCTGTTAAACCATCACCAAAAAAAGATAAAGCTAAACTCAGTTATGGTTGAGAAAAACAAAACTACAACAGCTGCCTAACAGTCGGTGGGATATCAACTGTCAGAATTAACTGCCAGTGTCAGATCCACTCTGTACATCTCTGGAGACATTTCTACAATACCAACTCTAATAACACACGCACACATGCACACACGCATGCACACACGCATGCACACACACACACACACACAAACACACACACACACACACACACACACACACACACACACACAGTGTCTAACAGGATGACTTAGAGTGGTTTCGATGCCTTAAGCCTAAAGTGTCTCCAACTGACTCTTTATTAATAGAACACAGACTAGATGTTCCTTAAATCATTGGACGATGTGCGAATGTTTCTGTGCGTTCACTCGTTTTTGTAGGTCTCTGTGTATGTGTGCGTGTGGACTCGCACCAAAAGAACAGAAACGGAATTAGTACCAGTGCAGCGAAAGATGTCCAATTAAGCCATCCGTAATACCAGCAATAATCCATTCACCGATCCCACTGACACCCACAAACACCAAATACACGGGTCTTCAACCTTGTTGATGGGTTTCCTGGAGACGCTGTTTTGAGATGTGAGCTCAGATGGGGCAGAAAACTGGAAACAATATTACAGATATGCTGAGAGGAGTTGAAGAGAAGTTGTGCAGTAAAGTGTGCACACTGTAAAACAACTAGAACTGGGTGGAAAATATTCAATACCCCAAGAGGAAACATCCCTTCCAGCACAGAGTATATGATTATATGAATTAAATAATTTATAAGCATGCGTGCTCTCTTTAGTTTACACACTGGGTCAGAGCCCATGAGCCTCCAGCTGTTTGACTCCTGCTGAGAAACTCCCAAAGAAAGTCTCAACTCCCCCAGCATCCAACCTTAGTTAAGTGTTTTCTACGAGCATATCTATGAATGCTCTTTAATTTTTTCACACGCATTTCCCAAAGCGCTCTCATGAGCAATAACATGCTTGTTTTAAGTCTGTCTTAAAGCAATATTCATATGCCCATACGCACAGTGAAATAGTAAGTGGACGTTGTATTCATTCCTCCTGGCTGCAGAGTGGTCCCTTTCTAACGCAGTTCTACTGGAAGTGATGGGGAGCAAAGTCCACAGTCCTTGTTCTCATGAAGTTCATCTGAAGCTAATAAGAGGCTTCAACAGGTCTGCGTAAGACAAATCAAGGGAGCATCTTCCAAAGTCCTTTTAGTACAGAATTTCCTTTTTTCATTGAAAGCGTTTCCTTGCTTGCCTTGATCCCCTTGAGCTGCTGGGAGGGAATTTTGTCAGTAACTTTGGAAGATACCCACTCGATTTGTCAAACTCAGACTGCTCAAACTTCACATTAGCTTCAGAATTAGGACTTTTTGCAGAGAGCGGGGACTGCTTTTGATCTCTTCATGGCCAGTGTGGAGAAAGAATGGCTCCAGGGTCCAGGAACTCTTTGAACATTTTCACGTGAGTATTGTGTTAATACAGATGGAACCTGTCCTTTAATATCAGCTGTCTATGGTGCTGAATGGAATGATGAATACACTAAAGTAATGTGGCGTGCTATATATTTCAAATACATAAGATTGCGCAAATCAGTTGTACTATTAATTTATGTGTGCCTGTCTGTGTGTTAGTTTAGTGATATTTTCTTTCACATTTAAACATCATCACTGATTTTATATCACTTACCAGAGATCATCAGTTCATCTAATCCAGAGAGATTGGGATGACATTTATTTTTATTTAACCCCAGACAAATGACATAAAATGTCCCTAGTTTGAATTTGTCTTCTTCAGTCAACTTAAAATATCATTAGATACGTTGTCATGACACTGACAGCATACTATGGACACTTCAGCAGATGATCTGGTGACACTGAGACTTGAGCCTCCCTCTTCCTCCCTCTCTTCTGCTCTGTCTCCTTCCCCCTCTTTCTTAACTATACCTTCTGCCACTTTCATCCATCCATTCCTCCATCACTCCTCCTCCAGCCTCGCTCTTCCTCTCAGAGTCCAGAGCGGATCAATACTCATAGAAGTTTCATGAGGACAGACCCTCTACTCCAGTTTCACAATAAAATGTGAACAGAGCAGGGAGATAGAAGCAAAGAAGAAGGGGAAGTGGTAAACAGAAAAAGCATGGGGGGGGGTTTAAACAAATGAGTGCAGGAAGAGAGAAAAAGGTGGGAAAGGGAGGGGAAAAAGGGTGAAGCTAGGGCATAGAGGGTTTATGTAGAAGAAGAAGAAGAAGAGGAGGAGGAGCAGGAGGAGAGGAGAAGAGAAGAGAGGCAGTGTGGTGAGATCGATTCTCTGGCCAGCCAGCAGTTCAATACCACTGAATTATTGCTTCATTCTTCCCCTTATGAGATGAGATCTCTTTCGCTCTAGCTCTTCTTCTCTCTGTGACTTTCTGCACGTTTGTCCATGTGTGTATGTACATGTGTGTGTATCTGCATGTGTGTGATCCACTTATGAGTGGATCAATACTTTATAATCTGGTTTTAAAAGTCCACCTTTTTGTCTCTCTCTCTTTTTTAATATGTCTCTTTTTTCACTTGTCTCTCTCTCCCTCTATATTTCACTCTGTCGGCTAAAATGAAAGTTAAATTGCTCGTAAAAGAGAGAAAAGTCTAAAATTGTGATGCTTTTCAGCTTTCACTAAAAGTTTCTTCTCCACAGCTGAGCTATGGATTTTCTTATGCAGCTGCAGTGACAATAAATCAGCTGAGTGTGTGTGTGTATGCGCATTGTGTGTGTGAGATCATGTATTGATTGTTACTTTGTATCATTGTGTGTTTACAGGCGCATGTGACGTTGAGAATGTTAATTTTTCCCACCAGGCCGATGAAGCAGCCATACGGCACTGCGTGTATGTGTGTCTATAGTGTGTGTGTGTGTGTGTATCTATGTGGTAGACCATCTGTTTGCCAGACTATTCACCATCTTTCTTTCATATCTCTCTGATTTACTTTTACTTTCAACTCCTGCCCCTGTTTAAAAGTGTGTGTGGTAAGTTTTGAAAGACATGACCCTATGCGAGTGTTGCTCTATGCGTGTGTTTACGCTGTGCGCTGTTGTCTCACCTTTGCGCGTGTGTGGGTGCGCTCGTGAGCGTGTTTAATTGCTCGGTCCTTACACCCAGAGGCAACCACAGCCAAAGCTCTGAAAAACCACAACAGCCAATCAGGTTTCACCGCCGTGACCCTTCACCAGTGACTTCCAGAAAGAAGCCGACCTTGAGGCGGGGTCAGGCAACCGCAGTAACGGATCGCGTTTCCTGGGTCACATGTTGAAGTGATCAGCCAATTGCGAGGTCACGGAAGGTCATCTCCGCCCAATAGGAGAAGCAGTTAGACACTAGACGGACCAATTACCAGCCGGCTAGCCTCAGGGTCAGACCAAAGATGTTTTGACTGAAGAACATTGAAGGAGGCACACAGGCAGAGTACCTTTGTTTGTACAAAGAAACTACTGACCACGGACGTTTAGACAGCAAGTAAAACAACTCCTGTAACATTTGAGTCTTCCAAAGTTTGTCAAGACATTTAAAACAAAAACAATATTTTGGTTCTGTCTTGTTTGTATTGTCGCTCTTAATCCTTATGCTAACTGTCGTGTTTTTTCATTGCACGTCGCACTGAGAAGTATGTTTCCTTGCATTTTAAATTGTTGAATGACTTCCTTTAGGTGGAGCTATTTTCTTTGTCTCATTGGCCAAACTGCTCGACTTCTTCATTTACTTCTGTTGTTGCATTTCATTGTTGACTTGAAGCTTTTTGCAAATAAAAATGCAGTTAATTTTAACTTTCATTCAGAAGACATGTCAGTAGCTGAAGTTTGAAACATGCAAAACTCATCACTTTCTTTGGCATTTTTCCTCTTGAACAGGAAATATTAAAGCTCTCATGACCTTGATACCAACATTAAAACTGACAATTTTTTTCATTGATCAGGCTTAAATCCTCATCCTTTATCTTTGTTTAATTGGGCCATTAAATTCTCCCACCCCAAAGAATTTATATAGCAGCTGCTTTTCTTTTTCTATCTCTCTCTGTGAATGACGTCATCATTGTGGTGTGATGGAGCCATGTTGACCAGATCAATACCAGACATCACATCACCTCCATCCATTTCCACATGTATGTGCGAACAAAATGAGCAAACACACACACACACACACACACACGCTTTCATTTTCCCTTCCTCCTCTACTGAATTTTAGCAGGAAAACGCTCATTCAGTCAACAACCCGCTCAGAAATCACACACTCTTTTTCCAAAGTTGCATGTGTTTGTGTGTGTGTTTAACGTGTGTGTGTGTGTGTTTGTGTGTGTTAGTAAACTGGGTGTTCTGGATGATTTCACTAATAGTTTCAGTATGGAGGGCTATAAAGAGCAGACTGTTTAATTGTAGCTGGTTTTAACGAGCCTCTGATTATGGCAACATTGTAACGAGTGTGGGTCGTTAATGTTGACTAATCTACAGTCATTAGTTCAACACTGTCTGGCCTGAGAGTGAACTGCAACTCATAGATGCTATTCAAACGCACATGCAGACACGGTCACACACACACACACACACACACACACACACACACAAACACACAAGCAATGACTCTTATATATGCCAACACAAAAAAATTTAAATTGACCTCACAACATAACTGTTAACACTGTGGAAAATCACAACAACACACTTTAAACAAGAGCATGTCCAAGTGTGTTTGCATGTACGTGCATGTGTGTGTACAGTTGACCTACCTGTGTATATGAACCTTCCAGGTGTGCCTTTGCAGAACTGTTTGGACTTGTAAGACAGAGTGACCTCAACGACTCCAGGGATGTGTCTGGGAGGCGTCTGCACCCGGATGGCATGCGGCGTGATCAACTGGAGAATGAAGGAAAGGGAGGGACCAAGAGTCAGTACACATACATACATCACCTGACCAGGACAAAAAAAACTTAGCCCTCTGTTTCAGGACTAAATCTCTTCAATCTCCGAAATAACTTTTAGAGTTTCTTTGCCAACAGACATCCTGAATCTTGATTCAGCGTAGCCGGGTTACGCTATTTACACCATGCATTAAAACACATCTGCCGCAAACAACCAAAGAACTGTGTTATTCCTTTAAATCTGACCCTGGATCTAATTTGACCATTACTGTATGTTATTCTTTGGGCATGTTTTGCAAGAGCTTTCTTGCTGGAGCTCAGCTCTAATGTTTATTTTTGTCTGTGGGCAGGAGATGTATTGCGTTTGCACTTATTAAAGGGGTGAAATGGATCCCAAACTGAGCTGTATTTACACTTGAATTTCAATTTTAGCTAAAATTTAAAAGGAAATACTTTTATATCCAATGTAGAATACATTGGAGATTTTGTATATGGATATATATTACTTGACATTCTTTTAATAGATATATGATATTATGATTTATGTTTTGTTTGGTTTATATGTGTTACTGGACTTTTAATCTACAACAGCATCTGTGTAGTCTCACATGGAATGGACCAAATGTTTGGCATGCAAAAAAAATTTAAATCAACAAGCTACTTTAAATATAATCTGATTTCCCAGCGTCTATGTTGATACCAGGTGAAAAGGAATCATTGTATTGAGCTGTATGTGACACTAACGTTTTAGCATCGCATTTTTATGGATGGTTTTCAAAAATAGTTTTTACTGTTTGGCCCAGCTTTTGCGAAAAATCTGTGGGTAGGAGAGACAGCTGTAGACAAACAGAAGTTGGCAAACATGCAATCACTTTCCACCGACAAATTTTTCAAACTGTGTTTTCTCGCTTCGGAATCAATAATCAGGTTGAGTGCAAACGAAACATTTGGTTGGCCAAAATCCATTAGAAGTCTGAGGAACGCCTGAGAGCTGAGTCAGTTTGAACTGAACTGAACTGAGACTCTGTACACATGTTAGTGTGTGTAAGTGTGGCTCTCAACACTGTAAACAAACCCCTCAGCTCTTAACACACACACACACATCCACGTATGCCAGCATGTACACACACACACACACACACACACACACACACACACACACACACACGCACTCAGTGTTGTTGTTGGAAGGGAGCCATGGTCGCTCGGCACACACGGTGAGTGGAGTCAGAAGACAAATAAACACTGTAGAGGAGTTGTGCTGGGGAAAAGTACGATAGTGAGCTCTGTATGTGTGTGCGTGTGTTTGTGAGCATTAAGCCGATGGCTATCAAAATGTGCCGATTTGATCAGTATTCCAGAGAGAAAGAGACAGAGGGAGTGTGGGTGAGGAAGGTAGAGAGGGGCGGTTGTCGCTTGTTGGTGGGGACTAATTAGAGACGGAAAGCTCATTTGGACAAACGCACAAACATCCACATGATCACACACAGTTAAGAGCCTGACCATGTTTTCATATTGAATTACTTCCAACGGTCCGAGGGCAAAAACGCCATTGAGGGGCTGAGACAACATTCAGACAGGATGATGATTGTTGGCAAACTGACCTCGCTCCAAACCAGCATGGTACCGAAGATGACTTGGAGACCATCAAAGAAGTTGTCCCCTATGATGATGACTGTAGCGCCCCCCGTAGTCCACCCCTCGCTGGGACTGATGGCTTTAATGCAGGGAGCTGAACCTGGAGGGAGGAGAGGAGGATTACAGTAGCCAAGAGAGAGAGAGAAAGGGAAAAAGGAGTAAAACAAATTGATTCGATTATTGGCATTTGAGATGATAGCCGTGGAATAAATCTTTTTACTCGACATGTCATGGTTGGAGGATAACATTAGT